ACAGATAGTCCTCGACTAGCTTTACGCAAAGTAATAAAAAAACAAAGACAAATATAAACAAAGTAGCCTTTGTTGCCCTAAACACTATGTTGGAAGAGTCTTTCTGTTTCTGTAGAGAACACTGAAGATTCTTTTCTTTGAAATATTGTTGTTCTTTGAGTCTGTTTATCAATCTCACTATACGAAAATCATTCATCGGAAAGACATGTGACCCTATTCTAGCCTTAAGCCATAGCTAAATTGTGCTGTTTAATGGTCAGGAATTTGCTATGAACCAAATATAGAGGTGCTAAATCCATTCGATTCGTATCTGCGACGTCGTGTCACTTGTTCTACAAATTGTTCATATTAAAGATGATGTAATAATACAAACATATCACATGGATTGGTCTTAATATGGCTGATAGTAGGATGAAATCAAGATGTAAAGATAAATATAACTGATATTTCAACGTAACATATAGATAGATAATGAAAACTAATAGCATCCAAACTTAGTATATGTATTTCCTTAAGATGAAATGTGGTATAAATATAGCGTTCTATGATTTTAAGGATTTTAAAGGAAGCTAAAATAGTATTTAATGTAAAGTGGTGGCGATTGGATATCAATCATTGTCATGGTTAGTAGACTATACGATCACCTAAGTTTAACTATCAATTAATACTAATTACTAATGAAGAATTAGACTTAGGTGATCGTATAAGCTACTAACCATGATGACGAAGCTATAATACATTCAAAGTTAAAGCTATTTTCTTTGTATTTATCTCTAATATAATTTTCACAGGACTTAATATTATGACAATGAAACCCAATCTTCAATGGACGTTTTTTTTTATCAAAGCATATTATGCACAATTGTTTTACATATACACTATGTTTCTGCTGTTCTGATTTTGATGTCGGAACACTGTTTCCTTTTTGATTGCTATGTGATGAAATAGGTTCGTCAGTGACACAGCTTCATTCACATCCAACTTTTGTCTTCTAGAAAACGACTATTTATAATAGCCAGTTTCACTTTAGTAGAAAAGAAAAAAGCTGGCAGCAATTTAATCTTAATCGCTAAACTAATAGTTGTTGTCTTCTTGCAAAACTACACAATGGACTACCTGCATCTTGTCTACTCTGGGTTTGAGCGTTCTAAGTCCGTAAACTTACCGATGCCTAGCAGGGACACACTTGCTAATCTAGAAATAAATTACAATATAAACACTTATTAATACCAGCTTTTGTATTCTAGCTTTAAAAAAAATCATGCGAAACCAATTTATTACAAATATCATCCAAACATCAAATTTAAAGATAAGCTTATTAATTTAATTTATTTTCAACTTTCTTTTATATAATAATGTAAATGTACGAATGTTTTATCTTGATAACAAGACTTTACAAAAGCTACGTTTAATATTATATATATAATGTTTAGGTGTTTTTACATCCGAATATGTGTATATTTTGCATGTTCTTAATATTTTCAATAAACCGCTTGAACACAAGTTTCTCCTCATGCGACTATATTTTGAAACTCACTTGTATTTTAAATTAAACTTTTTTCAAGAAGCCTTACAGTACCTAGATACTTGTTAACTTAACCAGCCTACTGTACGACTGTATGAATTTGAAAGGTACTTTTTCTTTTCGAGATGACAAGCGGTGATGAAATACCAAGAGACATATATTACTACAATGAATTGTTTTGTCCTTTTCCAAACTAATGACACTACGGACAGAACGCATGTAGCTTTAACTTACTCATGACTGTTATATTTTTTATCCTCTTGAGAATAAAGTAAACAACACAGCGTTAGATGTCCGTAAAAGGTACCATAATGTGGGTGAGAGACCCAAAACACAGCAATGATACTAAAAAGCATAGCATATTATTATTTCCTTTGTATCCACGTGTTGCTATAGATATTTGGGGTTGTACATATTCTTTGAAAAGTGCTGGTGAGTAAGTAGAAATAACAAGTATAGTTCCTAGAGGAGTAGTGAATTATGCTTGGTAAAGAACACTTTTCTTTTCCTACATCTTTGGTAAACTTTATGAATCCTTTATGTTCTATCTTCCACTCTTATCCTCTGCCATTGAGGATGTACGGTCGGGTCATAGAATATCCTTATTAGCAAACATTCGATTAAAGTTTTTGTTGGGTTATCTTTAGAATAACAAATGGAAATTTCATGATTATCTATATTGAGCAACTCACTGTGTGCCTAAGTATTTTGACAGTGTTTCACATACAGTTATCACTTAATAGTAATTCTAAAATTATAGATGGTGTCAGCCCACCGGCTTTTTATATATGTTTTCTTTTTTTTTGTATATGTTTGCACTAAACTGATTGTGAATTTATGTCCTTGCTAATTACAGGATTCCAATAACATATAACTCACAGAAATAAAAATAGTGTAATTAATCCCAAGAATTGCTGCTGAGGTCTCTTATGAATTTTAAATAGAACAAACGTGATTTTACTTACTCTATTTGGCCAGATCTTTGCAATGACTGTTGTAACAAGCAAAAACATAAAATTGATCAATTCTTTGCATAAGTCAGTTTTTACGTGTATAAAAGGTTGTCACTTCTAGTGTGAAATTCATTACAGTTTCACCCTTCTTCTAAACCTTTTATGTAATAATTTTGTAGTGAGTAAAATGAATTCTTGGACGAAACGATATTGTGGCTAAAATACTATTGACAATTGTGAAGATGTCTGAGAACTTAATGGTGATCATTATACAGTATCAAGTAATGAAATTGAAGTAGATCATTTATATCTTGAAGAAAATTTTTGCTTCGTTGAATTTCGCTCAAACCGACTCGAGGGCTACCTGTATTAGCCGGTCTTAATTTAAACGTGAAAAACTAGAGAGAAGGCAGTTAGTTAACAACGCCAACCGCCAACTCTTAGGCTACTCTTCACCAACAAAACGACAGATTGCAAGTCGAGTGCTCCAACCACCAAGCCATTACAGACGAAAATGGTAGTGATACTAGCTCAAATGAAAATAAGACTTATAATGAAATTACAGTGTACTGATGAAGAACGGTCTTAAGAAATAATGAAGAGGAAGGATGTAACTTCAAGGCAGCAGCCAACTAGGAAACATCAAGGCATGTAAGAAGAAATATTAAAACAGCATTACCTGCATCCAATCTATTTATGAAGAAGAGAATAGTGAAGAAAATACTGAAATTGACAAAAAAAGAAGGAAAGAAAAGCTGTGTTAAAATGAAAAATTTGGTATTTAAATTTATCGAAATGTAATATTTTGTCGGTATGATGGTGCTAGCTGGTACTTATAAATCAAGGAATGAAGCAATCGAAAATATTTGGATTAGGGTAATAATAAACTTTATCTTCGACATGATAATGTTGAAGAACAAGGAAAAAAAAAGGAAAAGTAAAAATCTGATCCTATAAAAAGCAACTTCAATGAAATGTTACAGAATCTCCGCAGTATGGCTACTGATGAGCAACTAGTCTTATTCACTAGTAGTATCCCTTCAAACAATATCTTCAGTGAAAACCTGAAAAGTATGAAATTAGAATTAAGTTTTGTTGTGTGTTTATGATACGCGAATGTATAGAAGAACATCCAAGAGAACAAAATCATGGAGTGAGATTTGAACTGGGTATGTTCCAAGGATTACAAAACAGTGGAAGTGAATTATCTTGTGATAATTCTTTTACGAGTTTAAAGATGGCCAAGAAATCACTGGACATTCAACTAACAATGCTTGGAACATTAAGCACAAAGAGATGTGAACTACCATTAAAATGGTCAATGTAAAATGATGTACCGAGTTCTCAACTACATTTAGTTTTAACAAACTCACATCCTTAACTTTATACTGTTCAAAGAAAGGAAAATAGCTGTGGTGCTAAGTATTATGTACGAAATGTACAACAATATAGCAGTCCAAAACACAGTGATGATCCTATATTACAACAGTACCAATGATGTAAATGTGCAAAATTTGTGTGTAAAGAACATTCCAATATATATATCGTGACAACTGTGACGGCTGACAACGAATTTTGTAATATACCAATATGCGTTTTTTCTTTTCAGTTTTCGTTCTACTCACATTTTATAAGTTTGTAATTAAGTTTTATAGCTTTATAATGTAGAATATTAATGTGGAGTAAAACAAGTAAAATAAAAGTATTTAGCTATAAATAATGTAATTTATTAAATCTATGCACATAACTTGCGTGGATCCTACCGTTAGTGAATGTTTAAAAAAGTCGGTAATGTGAGGATTAAATTGGCATGTAAAACGTTTTACTCTCGCTTCTTGAATAAACAGTATATATACATGTATAACTGTAACTACTATATTTATGTATCCCTCTGTCTTCTACTAGTTTAGTTCCTTATTCAGAATGTTTTTAATATATTTTTTGTCAACTCGTTCGTCTTCAGCTTTCAATATTTTAATTATTTAATTCTGTCAGATCGCTCAGTCAGATTACAATCATGAATCTAAATATCTTTATTTGGCAGCATGGTATCCTGAACTTTAAGAACTTAAGTTAAAACTATTTACTTTAAATTTAGAGTATATTATCAAATACTAAAAGGTAGTTAGGAATTGAATTTTTCAATTGGATAAATAATATGTCAATTAGTTATTCTCCTTAAAATAATTTTGCATCGTTCCCCCCCCCTTAATTTAGGTGATTAGTTTTCTGTTTTAAATATAGTCAAATATTTAACTAGAAAGATAGGAACTAACAAAATAGTCTTTAACCACAATTAGGGATGCCCCCCAGTGGCACAGCAGTATGTCTGCGGACTTACACCGCTAGAAACCGGGTTTCGATGCCCGCAGTGGGCAGAGAAAAGATAGCCTATTGACTAGCTTTGTGCTTAACTTCAAACAACTAAACTAAACAATTAGAGATGATTTACATTTGATGAGAGTTAAATATTAAATAACTGACAATAATCTGGAAAAGATATTTCAAAGAGACATTCTTACCTTAAATACAAAATAAGTGACTGTTGATACGGAAACTGCTAAGTAAAGCTGAGGGTAAATAAATATCAAAGTGTGAGGTAAAAATGAAAAAGATCTACTATATGTACTGCAGATATAAAATCTATAAACGTACTGATTCATAGGAGTTTGAACAAATATATCATGTCTAGTGGCAGCGATAAACGATCAAATTTACTTTTTATTCTTGAGATATCTATCCTTTAAGTAATATCTCAAAGTGAGTGAATATATAGTTTCTACTGTTATTGCTTGAATTAAGATGGTTGCAGTTGTACCATAAAAACTGTAGGTATTTTAAAAGACAGTTAAGATTATAACTGTCTTTTAATTTTACTTGTCTCATTACCATATCCGACTTTTACGTAAATTGCTCTATAATATACATTGTAAAGTTGTTGTTTATTTTATTCTTTAACTGGATAATTCGTCTTTAAATGATTGTATTGTCTAATTCATATATATTTACTTATATATATATATATATCAAAAGATTTTACGAAAAACAGTGCATCAATGGATGCCTAATGAACTTTTACCAATTTCTAGGTAATAATTACATCTTATTTCTTAGTTTAAATGATAAGTTAGCTCCAATTTTGCTTACCGCAAACAAGTATAGTAGCCATACACTGTATTTCCTGCTAATTGTTAAAAATTGTTTTCTTACTCACCTTTGTCTGGGGTTTTTCTCGAATTCTTGATTAAATTATTTTCTTTCATATCTATTTCAATAGAGCAAACTAATATTGGAGGATGAGTGGCATAATGGCAAAAATAAATAAAATGGAAACTTTAATTTGGTTTGGAATTTGTAAAAGGCAAGACAAAAAGTACAGAACGCGAACTGTGTTTATATAAACATTTGGAAGAAAGTTAAACCAGCCTTCCTGGGTATGGTTCTCTGCCGATCTTTACAATCCACTCCCTTTCTGGGGTAAGACCTTGCCTTAAGGTTTCCTGGCCATATCTGGTATCAAACTGTGACTCGGATAAGCTGGTGCTGCACTTAATCTTAAGATCGTTAGCCACCTTTTGTCGATACCACAGAACTATCACAATCAGAACAATAATCAAAATTCCCACCGTTGCGAACGTCCATGTCATAATCTTCTGCATTTCAGATATATAACAGCCTAAATCTTCTGGAGTTAAGTCTTTCAACAATATATCACGTAGGAGGGGTGGAGTCTCACATGTAATTAGTGTTACATCAGGATCAACATGATTTGAATAGTTAAAGTTCTGTAATAAACGTAAAAGCCAAGAAATGCTGCAGTTGCACACCAGTGGATTGTCACGTATGTCAAAATGTTCCAAATTTTGCCAAGGGAGAATTTCAGCAGGTAGTGTGTGAAATGCATTATCTCGAAGGCTAACAGTACGAAGGAATGGCAGAGAGGTAAATGCATCTTTTCCGATATAACTTAGTTTTTTATTATGGTTCATGGCTATATGCTGTAAATTGTCGTTGCATGAGAAAGCATCATTTTCTATCCTCTTCAACAACGGAGCGCTATTTATAACAAGAGAACGCAGATTCATCAGGCCCGTAAATGCATTTGCTTGAATTTTTCTAAAGTTATTTTGACCGATTTGAAGTTCTCGTACTGATTTTAGATAACGAAAAGCTTCAGTGGGGATAACGTTAAGCAAGTTATCTTGAAGTAAAAGATCAGTAAGATGTTTAAGTGCCGAAAATGCGTGCTTGCGTATTTCACGAATTCCGCAGCTGTCCAGCTTTAGCGTTTCTAGTCCCAACAGATTAGAAAATACATAGTCTTCAACCAAAGGAAAAGAATTCAGACCCAAATCCAAGCTTATAAGATGAGGTAAGGGCCCAAAAGCTGCTTTAGGAATCTGCATTACCTTGTTTTCTCGAAGTAAAAGGATTTTTATTCTTGCTAATCCAATAAAGGCATGGTTGGAAATGGTTGAAATGCTATTTTCGGACAAATCTAAAACTTCGAGACTCGATAACTCACTGAAGACCTGTTCGGGAAGTTGTTGGATAAAATTTCCCGTCAATTTCAAGATATGCAGTGAGTTCAGACCAAAGAATGTCATTCGCTGCAAAGACGAAATCATATTATAGCCAAGAAGAAGAATTTGAAGTTTTTGTTGACGTTCAAAATTGTTCCTTCCTAAAGTAACTAACTGATTTCCACTCATATCTAGATATTCCAGATTACGGTAAACATTAAAAGCCGACATTATGCCTTTTATGCTATTCTTCTCTAAGTGCAGCTCCCGTAGGTCAGGGTTCAGAGTGATGGGCACTACATCCAATTTCGCATCATCACAAATTGCAGTAAGCCTCTCCTCGTCACACTGACATCTATACGGACAAAGTCCACTGACAGAACGGTAGAACAGCAGTACAAAGGTGAAAACCACAAAATCTAGTTGACATTTCATCATGAACACTTAATATTCACATTCCTTTACCAAAGTCATTCTTTTCTGAAAAACACAAAACATTTCTCTATCAACTGTAACACAAAAAAAACTTTCAATAACGTTGTAATGAAACAAAGTATTAAAGCGTTTCCTCAAACTGAAATATTATTCACAGTAATATTAATATTATAGCGCTTGATATTTAAAAGTGATATATTGTTAATAATATTTCACAAATATAATTTAAAAGTAGTTTAAAAAAATATATTCCGAGTAGAATGATTTAAATTTCAAAGAACAATAAAAACACACTTTATTACAGCTTAGTCAAAAAGCTAAGAAAAACCATTAAAAATTGGTAGATATCTATTTAATGTGAAAGCTGTCATTCTTGTACTTTCGTTCCCTTACAAATGTTTTTTTTTCGAAAACAATATTAATTCTTTAACAGTATTTCCATAAATATATATAGATAGATAGATATTTGAAAAGCAGATATTCACTTTATAATGTATTTTACAACGATATTATATTCAAGGATGATGCACACTTATAAACTGGCCAAATGATATAGAAGGTTATTAGCCGACAAAACTATTATGCAGGCTACATTAGCTCTTCTTCCTATGGCAATAAAGCTTGTGATTACATAGCTGGATCCTTCTAATAATTCATTTAACCATAATGATTTTCGAAATCCGGAAATTAGATATATCATTGGTGTCCATACAAAATAAAGCCTCTTGTTATCTGAAAATCAATATCGATAGATTATTTCAGAACATCTAAGAAAGTAAATGAGATGAAATAAAAGATAAAACACCATATATTTGCGAAGTTTATATAAACCCACCATTACCGTAAAAACGAAAAAACAAACAAACGAACTATTCAACAAGTGTTGTTGTTGTTATTTAAATAAAACAAAAAAAAACGGCATAAAGCAGAATGAAGTTGTAAAATATAGAAATAATCTTGAAAAATGTAGAATTATTATAACTTAAAACTACTGGTATAGGGAAACTATGGTACATTGAGAATCACAGTTTTTATTCAGGAAAGTATGTATATGATACAGAGTGTTTGGATTGTTTGTTTGTTATGGATTTCGCGCAAAGCTACACAAGGGCCATCTACGCTAGCCGTCCGTAATTTAGCAGTGTAAGACTAGAGGGAAGGCAGCTAGTCATCACAACCCACCGCCAACTCTTGGGCTTCTCTTTTACCAACGAATAGTTGGATTGACCGTTACATTATAACGACCCCACGGCTAAAAGAGCGAGCATGTTTGGTGGGACAAGGATTCGAACCAGCGACCCTCAAATTGCGACTCGAGCACCCTAACCACCTGTTAAGATATAAACATTTTATATAAGAAGTTTTCTCTGTAAGTTTGACATTTTAACACCAAAAACTTTATTAGTTGGTCGCATTTATTTATAAATGCTTTACATCTTCTAACCCTAATATCTTCTCTTATTTTAACGTCTAAATATATACGTATGCTAGTAGGTTTGATTATTATGTAGAAAAATTAATTTCGTTTGTCATGATTGTATAACACCAGTACCAAAAACGTGATATAATTTTAGACAACAATCTAGTTATATTTCAGTTTATGTGAACATTTACTTTCTGTTTCTTAATTCTTTTAAAGAGACCAAAAAATTAAATATATGAAAATGATACATTATTGAACAAGCTACACTCTCCTGGATGGATAAGAATAAGCTGTACGATTCCTGTTTTACTTGATTATTATCAACAAGCGAAGTACTTGGCTTCGCTCGGGTTATTAGGTTTGTTTGTTCTAGATGACTATGTCAGTGTATGTATTCTGAGCCCATTTTAGCATAAAAGTATAACATATATATATATACTGTTGTTGCTCCTTTACGGGATCGGCCTGTTTATCAAGGTAACCTTCCCTCTGACTTGCCCTCCGATTTTAAACTTAAATAATAATAACAACAAGTAATATAGAACAAACCTCTTTAATTAACGGAGCCTCTAAATTAGAAAACAACAAATATACTTTTTTCAATTTTGTAGTTTATACATTTTATTTTATATTTTCAGCACAAAGACTAACAACAATATTTGATTATATTTTTATCGCTAAGCAACATGATATAAAAGTCATTGTTGGAACGCATTGTTACCAAAACGCACTGGATTTTCTATATATTAGAAGTTGTTATATAAGGGACCACTTCTTTTCTATGTGGTTTTTTGCTATATTGCCTCATTAAAAAGCTGCGTGTCTGTCTGTCTGTGATTTATATGCATAATTTGTAATATAAGGAACCACTTCTTTTCCATGTGGTTTTTCACTAGCTTGCCTCATTAAAAAGATACGCACGCACATTCGCGCACGCACTTGGATAAGATAGGTAATAATACGCAGGTGCAGACCCTCAGGGTCCACTTAATATGAGTGCAAAATTTAGGTCTCTAGGTTCTTTCCTCTTGGAGCTATGGTGGTCACACAGACACGCACATGCACACATATTCATGTCAGTCTGTCTGTCTGTGATTTATATTTGTAATATAAAGAACCACTTCTTTTCTATGTGGTTTTTCGCTAGCTTGCCTTATTAAAAAATGCGCATGTGAGCACGCACGTGGATAAGATAACTAATAATACCCACGTGCACAACCTCAGGGTCCACTACGCATGGTGCAAAATTTCAGGTTTGTAGGTTTTCCTCTTGGAGCTATAATGGTCACATTTCTTTTCTATGTGGTTTTTCGCATAAAAAGGTGTGCAAACTTTCAAGGTCCACTTAGTATGGGTGCAAACGTTTAAGTTTCTAGGGTTTTTCCTCTTGTAGCTATGGCGGTCACACATAAGAAGACACGCACGTGCGCACACGCACGCACACACATGAGCGTGTCTATTTGTCTGTGATTTCTATTTGAAATGTAAGGAACCACTTTCTTTTTATGTGGTTTTTTTTCGCTAGCTTGCCTCATTAAAAGGATGCGCATGCGCGCACGCACGTATACATTTCTTTTGTGTGTGTGTTTTTTCACATAAAACGATGCACACGCATATAGATAAGTAATAATACCCAGGTGCACACTCTCAGGGTCCACTTAGTACGTGTGCAAAATTTCAGGTTTGTAGGTTCTTTCCTAGACACGTCCTTTTATTATTATAGTACGGATGTAAAGTTTCAGGTGTCAAGGTTCTTTACCCTTGAATCAATGGCAGTCACATATTCTTTCCTATGTGGTTTTTCGCCTTGTCTCATTAAAAAGATGAGCACGCGCATGCGCGCACGCACTGGGATAAGTTATAATACCCAGGTGCACACCCTCAGAGTCCAATTAGTATAGGTGCAAAATTTCAGGTTTCTAGGCTCCTTCCTATTGGAGTTATGGCGGTCACACACACAGACATGCCCTTTTATTATTATAGATTAACAACTTTTATTTCCAAATTTTAAGTATCGGTAATTTTATCTTGTTGTAAGAGATTTGAAATCTGTTACAGTGTTAAGTAAAAATAAGGCTTGCCTAATATAGCAATTCATCAGTTCATCCATTGGACATAATGCATCCTGCAAATTTCTACACAACATTAATTAATCAAACAACTAAGTTCGAAAGCAGAATGGTGAAAGAGATAAATAAGATAAAAACCATTTCTTTTAAGATGTTGATTCATATGTAGTACTTTTCATACTCAACCACTTTAATCTAGTTCACACCATAACTGTAGTTTTCCATACAATTTGATAATATGAATAGCGTCTGAACTACCACTGTGTTTTTCATGTCCAGCCAGCCTGGTAAGCCTTGGCATTTCGCGATAGACCTCATCTGTACTTCATATAACAGATATAATGTGTTTGATATATTTTTATACATTATTCTTTACTTTCAAAATTAAGCTCTAACAATTACTACCTTAATTTACTTAGTTGTTCAAATGGAGTATCGCAACGGTTTATGTTGTTAATTCTTGGTAACATGTAGGAAATAAATATTATTGGTAATATATATAAAGACTTTGCGTAAATTAAACTATTTAGACCAAAGTAACTAACTGGCTTTAATATATCTAACTGTAGCACAGTGACAAAAGAAGAGCATTGCTATTCAAGAAGAGAAATAACCAACCTGAACTGAAAACAAAACTTTATATAGAAACTGTATGAAGCGATATGTAAAAGATGGCAGTATAATGGTAAAAATATATAAAAAAACATTATTACGTTAACCGTACAAGCGTGATTAACATGTTTTAACTATTTTCAAGAAGTGTTATTTTTTCTTCTTTTCCCCTACTAAATAATTACCTAATAAAACATTTACGAAACTATTACAAAAGAAGTAGTAAATTCCTGTGCTATATCACTGAAAGGTATATTTGATATCATAGCTTTTTGCATAACTTATATGAGTAAATCAAACAAAAAGTATAAAAAAACCTGGTGAAAATACATCAGGTTTGTGGATTCATTTTTGCTCGCAGAGTTGCAAATGTCATGATTTTTAATTGATAAATGTAATAAGTATACACAATTTGCTGTTTAAGTTATTCTGAGGAAGCAGAAAACTTAAAAGTTTTATATACATATGTCGATATAAAATTAAATGTTCGCGACTTCCTTCTTGGGATATAGTTAAGATTTTTTTTTTCGTATATATCCCTCGCATGGTTGTCAGATAATTTATCTGGTAAATAAAATTAACCCAGGAGTAATACGTCTTTAATATGGTCTGAAGTGGTACGTCGATAAATATAATTTAATACTCCTGAAAATACAAAAATATGAATGAATTAGTTCTATTTGTTCGAGTGTGTTATTGTTCCAAATGTTTACTCCCGTGAATTTCTTTAGCAAATCATGTAAAACGATAAACATTTTTGAACGCATGAATTTATCAGTGACCTAACCATGATTAACAATAGCCTTTCAGAGGTAGATGTACACACACACATATATATATGAATTTTGTACTTGTCCTTGTTGGTAACAATGTTTTTTAGTAATAAACATAGAACCATGTTGGTAGATTTTGTTTTAACATATATGCCTTATTTGTATTCG